CCATGCCCGGCTAATTTTTTGTATATATTTTTAGTTGTCCAATTAATTTCTTTCTATTTTTAGTAGAGACGGGGTCTCACTCTTGCTCAGCCTGGTCTCCAACTCCTGAGCTCAAACAATCCACCCGCCTCGGCCTCCCAGAGAGCTAGGATTACAGGCGTGAGCCACTGCGGCCGGCCCTAATTTTTTTAAAGGGATAACTCTAGGTGAAATAAGGTAGAAAATTTATATTTTAAAAGCACAGAGCTGAGACTTTAGGCCAAAATATTGTGTCATCATTTGCCCAAATGAAGGAAAAAGGTGTTGGTAAAAATCTGGTTAAGACAAAATGACTAGGAAAAGCACCTTAAACAAAAGTAAAGCTCAATATGTAAATTTAAAATAATGGTAAGAGTTTTTAGTATATAGAGGTAAACACCCTTATAAATGGAGTTTTTTTTTTAGATGTAAATTTTTTTATAAAAGGGTTTTAGAATAGTCAAATGTCATACAGGTGTATTTTGGAGAGCAGTTTAATGGGTGGCCTTTTAACTTAGCTATTGCTTTTTAGTTAAAATTATTGTGTTTAGGGTGGAGCCCATTAGGGAATAGGGCAAAGAAAGCTTTGTCTTATGTCTGGACTCAGCATGTATAGAGCTGAAAAAAAGTAAGCCTATTTTATCTGAGGGCTTCCTTTTTATAAACACTTTATCCAAGATAGCTTTTTTTTTTTTTTTTGCCTTTGGGGCAGAATAGCAATTAAGCAAAAGGTTAGTAGATTTAATTTTTTATTAATTAATCACGTAAGCTTTTTATGTGTCTTTTATAGAATCTTTTAAAAGAGGGAATAAAAATACTGAAATATTTTTAGAAGCTTCTATACATTAATGGGCGTCCCTGGGCTGGGCGTGGTGGCTCACACCTGTACTTTGGGAGGCTAAGGCAGAAGGATTGCTTGAGCTCAGGAATTTGAGACCACTGGGTCAACACAGCAAGACCCACCGACTCTACAAGAAATTTAAAAATTAGCTGGGCATGGTAGCATCTAGTGCCTGTAGTCCTAGCTACTCAGGAGGCTGAGGCAGGAGGATTGCTTGAGTCCAGGAGTTCAACGCTGTAGTAAGCTATTATCACACCACTGCACTCTAGGTTGGGCAACAGAGAGAAACCCTGTCTGTAAAAAAAAAAAAATTAAAATTAAAAAAATGTTAACAATTTTTTAAAAATAAAACGCATCCCTGGATGAGACTAATTCGAGGGCCCTCATTTTTAAATGTACTTTTTAAATTACAGTGTTGTTTATTTGGAATGTTTTACTGTAATTTTAAATTATCTTTGTAAGATTTTGTTATGTTTGTGTTTGCTATTCTGAGGCCTAGTATTTATGCACATATAGATAGATGTAGCCAGAACGTAGAGTGCTCAGTTTGTTTAGAAAGTAAGGATCCCACTTTTACCTGGAGTCTTGACTTTGGCTCCCACATCCCGTTGATCAGCTTAGCCAATGATTTTTCTCTACCTAAGCACACAGGAAAAAGAAACAAAGACGGTAGAACACAAAAATTCCTGCGAATTTTTAAAAACAAGTTGGCACACCCTGCAGTCTTGCCATTTACTCCACTTTCTGCCTAACCCAGTCAGACATCGGAGGCCTTTAACTGATCCAAGCCAGTTAATTACTGGCTCCAGTCCTGGACCCAGTCCAGTTTTTGTCAGACTTCTGAACCCAGTTCAGATCAAAACTTGTCTCAAACTCAGGTGGCTCAAAACACTGGAGCCCAAGAGAGAACATACTTACGCCCCCCAGTTGCTGTGAAGAACAGTGGGCAAAATGCTTAGCCACTCGGTGCTCCTGGGGGTCCCTGCGAGCTCGACTTCAGGTCTCACTTCTGACACCATCTGTTAAAAGAAAAACTTTAGACAAATAAAATTTTACGGAGTTTAATTGAGCAAAGGACAATCTGCAAGTCAGGCAGCCCAGCATCGGCTTAGAGAGAGAGAAACTGTACTACCACAGGGTCAGAGAGGATTTATGGACAGAAAAAGGAAAATGACATGCAGAAAACAGAAGTAGGATGCAGAAACAGCTGGGCTGGTTATCGTTTGGCATTTGTCCTATTTGAGCGTGGTGGAAACAGTGGGCTGCCTTCGAGCGGCCAAAACTCAGTGACTGGTCAAGAGCAGGTCGTAGTCTGTTTACGTATCCAGTTAGGTTGCAGTTCACTAGTATGGAGAAACCTTTAGGCCAAACTGTAAGTATGCAGGGAGGCTGCTTTAGGCTAAACTTCACAGGCCCGAAGGTGCAACAGAGCAGTAAGTGGGTATCTTACTGCTTACCACTGAGTAAGTGGTAAGTGAGTAGTGAGTGGGGCTGAGGGGTAGGAGACGGGGTGACATGCTGGTTAGGGGCCCAGCCCGGAGGGAGGCAGCCAGGGCCGGGTGAACGAACATTGCCTTTGGGGCTGGGTAGAGGAGGGAAGTCACGGAGGAGGCTCCCCCTGAGACCACCTCACTCTGTACAGCCGAGGACCTGTGGCTGAGGCCCCTGACCATGGAAGACCTTGTCTGCTACAGCTTCCAGGTGGCCCGAGGGATGGAGTTCCTGGCCTCCCGCAAGGTGAGCTCCCCTGGCAGGCCCTCCAGAGGGGAGAAGGGCGCAGCCCCGTCTGCATGCCACCACGCGCTCCGTCCTACCTTCACCCCTGGGGTCCATCAGCGTCTCCCATTGTGCAGAGGTGGGTGCGGAGCTGGGGTCAGTCTGACCCCAAGCCGTCCCCACGATTCCACAAGCCCCCTCTGTAACGAGCCCGAGGGATGCTCTGGACTCTTCCCCAAAAGAGCAGGGCTCAGGCCCTGGAGCTCCAGGGGTGGGTCACTCGGGGCCTGCGCTGACGTCCCCCGGCCCCCGCCCCCCGTGCCCCCAGTGCATCCACAGGGACCTGGCTGCTCGCAACATCTTGCTGTCCGAGAGCGACGTGGTGAAGATCTGCGACTTCGGCCTAGCGCGAGACATCTACAAAGACCCCGACTACGTGCGCAAGGGCAGTGTGCGTGCAGGGCACCCGGGCGGGGACGGGGCGAGTCGCGGAGGGGCGGGGCTGCGGACCTCCCGCCCGGAGGGGGCGAGCTGGCGGGGCGACTGGGCTCCTCGGTCTGCCGCTGGAGGCGCACTGCCCCCGGGCCCCGCCGAGGTCTGGGGGCCCCGCCGAGGTCTGGGGGCCCGAGCCTACGGGGCCCCTGTGACCCGCCCACGGAGGCGACCAGGGACAGGGGAGTGGAGACAGAAGTTGACGGGCAGGCCACGGTGCTGCGGTCCACGTGAAGGGCCCCGACTTGCTGCGCCCGCCCTCCGGGGCCCGGGTGTGCAGAGGCGTCGCGTGGCGTCTGCCCTGCAGAAGGGCGCGCGTTTCGGGCCGTCTCAGGGCCGGGCTCGGGGCGGCGTGCGGCTCACTGGTGCAGCTCGGAAGCAGCGGGGACCAGGGCTCCGCCCGGCAGAGGGAGGGGCGAGCGGGTGGGTCCCGGGCGTGGCCGAGGGGTGGAGGCAGAGGCCAGTCAGGAAGGGTGGGGCCGCGAGATGGTGGGGAGGGGCTGCAAGCCCCCCTCACCCAGCCCTGAGAAAGCTCACGGGACAGAGGGGCCTGGCCAGACCCAGGAGAACGGGCAGCGGGAAGAAGCCTTGGGTCCAGACAGAAGGGACTTGTTGGGGGGGGCCTCAGTGTCTGGCCTCAGCCCTGTCTCCCCACCAACCGTGGGACACGCCTCCTTCCACCGCCCTCAGGCCCGGCTGCCCCTGAAGTGGATGGCGCCTGAGAGCATCTTCGACAAGGTGTACACCACGCAGAGCGACGTGTGGTCCTTTGGGGTGCTGCTCTGGGAGATCTTCTCCCTGGGTGAGTGTAGGGGGTGCCCGGCCCAGGAATCACCCAGCTCCCAGCTGCAGGATAGGTCCTTCTGGTGCCAGGGACTGGGCACCTGGAGACGGGCACCAGGTGGTTCTGAGGCAGGTAGTTCATGGGCCGCCAAGAGCCCCCCGCCTCCCCTCGGCCTGGCCCAGCCTTCAAGAGGACTTTGCCTCCGATGTGGGCCACCCCCGAGCCCCGGCACCACTTCTGGAGGGTGTGAGCCCGAGCCCATGCCAGGTCCAGCCTGTTCAGGTGGCAGCCCCCGGATGACCACAGGCCCCAGAGGGAGCCCCGGGCTGATTCAACTGACACACTTACTTGTGTGTGTCCCACGTGGGAACTGGGGCCCCACGGTGAACATGGTGAATCGCCACGCCAGGGTAGGGGAGGCAATGAGCAAGAGGAAAAGTTAAAACATCACCAAATGGAAACAGTGCTTCATGCTATTACCGAAACTGAAAGAGCAGGAAGACCCCAGGAGGCCTGGCGGCTCGTGTGAGGCAGCAGGGCCCAGGGAGGGAGGACAGCACCCAGGGCCGGGCGTCCGGGCCCATGGCCCCCTGTGTTGGAGGCGGCCATGGTGCAGGCAGGCAGTGTCAGGCGCAGTGAGAGGCTTCGTGGACACGGGTTCTGTGTGGCTCCCCACCCTTGAGGATCCCGGTAACTGATTTCCTAACTCTCAAATCCACGGACGCTCAGGGCACCCCAGCACGTGGGTGGCATCATCCTCTCTTAACCTCATGAAGAACTAGCCTGGGAAGGCAGTGAATGCCCAGGCCCCCAGGTATAGCACAGCATGGGGAGCCACCGTCTCCCCTGCCAAGGGGAATAGAGGGGGGCTCTGGACAGGGATGATCTGGGGAGCTGGGCTGAGCAGTCAGCAGCCTGCTGTCCACCCACCTCACCCCCTTCCTGCTGTCAGGGGCCTCCCCCTACCCTGGGGTGCAGATCAACGAGGAGTTCTGCCAGCGGCTGAAAGACGGCACCCGGATGAGGGCCCCGGAGCTGGCCACTCCTGCCATGTGAGTCTCCCCCACCCTGCAGGCGCTGGGGGCGGGGAACGGGCCGTGGAGATGGGCATGTGAGATAAGCAGGGGGCGCTGGGGAGGCCAGAGCCAGCAGGACAGGCCTGGCCAACACCCTCACAACACACAGAGGGTAACGCGGCGTAACTGACGGGCACCAGGCGCGGAGGCCAGGCGCTCTGGGAACACCCGACGGGAGCCAGAGCCGGGGTGATCGGGGGCTGAGCTGACACTGAAGGAGTGAGAGGCAGCTGGAAAGGGGGGAGGGCTCTAGCAGGAGGACAGAGCAGGGGGGAGGGCCCCAGGGAAGGCTGGGGCTGGGGCCTGGGGGTGGGGTGGGCCCCCTGAGACCACAGTCAGCAGCCTGCTTTCCCCCAGACGCCACGTCATGCTGAGCTGCTGGTCTGGAGACCCCAAGGCAAGGCCTGCGTTTTCAGAGCTGGTGGAGATCCTGGGAGACCTGCTCCAGGCCGGGGCCCGGCAGGTGAGCCCCCTCTCGGCCCTCCTGCTGCAGCCTGGGCCCCGGCTGCCCCTCTCGGCCCCCCTAAACTCTGCCCACCTCTGAGCTGCCTGGCAAGGTGGTGCATGCCCAGGCGAGACACAGGCATCTTCCTCTTGAGCACACACCCACTGGTGCCTGCTCTGGACACCATTCGGATGGTCAGAGCCTGTCCCTGCCCGCAGAGAGCCCCAGGCTGGTTCCTGCGGCACCATCGAGCTGTGTCCCTGCACCTGGTGCCTACCCTGCCCCCGCCCCCACCCCCGAGCACATGGGCCCTTGAGGTGCGTGTCCTGGCGTCTCTCTTCCCCATACGGTGCTCCTCAAGGGTAGGGACCCAGCTCACGGCAGGCACCCTGTGCCCTGGGACCTGGAGGGAAGGACAGGGGAGCAGCCTGCTTCCCAGGACTCAGGGGCCGGGATGGGCGCTTTGGGTCCGGATCCACCCAACGAAGAAGGTAGAAAGTGCCCAGCCTGGTTTCTCGGATGGCAGGCGCAGCCAGGGGTGGGTGTGAGGCTACTTGACTGAGCCCCAGCCAGCCCCGCCTGCCTCTTCCGCAAATGGGGCACAGGGAGGGCTGCAGGGAGCTGCACAAGGCTGGCACTGCGAGCCTTCTGCAGCCTTGCCCCTCGCCTGCCTTGAGAGCCGAAGCATGCCAGGCTCTGGCACTAGCTCATTTCATCCTCAGAGCACACACTTGCGGGCGCAGTCCTGTGACCCCACTTCAGGGGTGGGAGCCCGGGCAGTGCTGAGGAAAGGGGTGGGGGCCACGGGGCAGCACCCGTCGGTCTCTGGCCCTGGCTGCCTCTCCCGTTCCCACCAGGAGGAGGAGGACCCCGTGGCCCTGCGCAGCTCTCAGAGCTCCGAGGAGGGCAGCTTCCTGCAGGCGTCCACCACTGCCCTGCACGTCACCGAGACCGATGCTGAGGACAGCCCGCCGAGCCTACGCCGCCACAGCCTGGCTGCCAGGTCGGCCACCCGCCGAGTCCAAAAATGAGGCCGGGGAAAGGGCCGTGGACCAGGTGTATTTCATCCCGCTGAGCCATCGAGGAAACGCAAACTGTAGCGACTTGAGAGACAAGTGTACCCCAACTCAGCGGGTGGTCTTAAAGGACAGCGCAGGGGCCCACGGTGCTCTGGGAGGCTTCGTCCACTGAGGGGCCCTCCAGGGCCTGTCCGCTGTGCTGCCGTCTGCTGGCCTCAGTCCTCTCTGCCCACTGGCATCCTCCTTGCCGTGCAGTCCTGTCCCCGGGAGACCCCAGCCCAACGTCAAGGGCACATCTCACAGGGAGAGAACGTGGAGTGGGCTGGGTTTGGGCCAGACTCTTCCTGGGATCTAATCACCGATTCATCTTGGGGTGAGTCTGCGGGGCCTCTGGCAGAGCCCCCGGGGCCAGGGAAGGCCGCTCACTCCGCACACTCTGGGAACTTGGCCTGAGTTCCCAGAGTTCTAGGTCAGAGGTCTCCTGCCCCGGCAGCTCACACCCCAGGAAAGTTGTGCCGTCCACACTCCCACCAGCGCTACTGAGACCCAGGCCCTGAGAGTCCTGCCCTGTCTGCGCCAGCGTGGGGCAGGGCCAGGCCCTGAGGACAAGAATAGTCAGCTGGATCTCGCCAGGCCCCTTCCACCAGGCACCCGAACACGCACACTCACGTGTGTACACGTGGGCAGGCCAGTTGGCTTGCACACCAGACCTGTCCCCTAGCTTGGGGCGAAGGCCACACTGGTGCGGCCCAGCTCCACATCGCATGAGGCCTGGCCGTGCCCCCTCACTGCGGAGCACAGCAGTGGACTCGGGGAGGACGAGGCCAGGGTGGGGCAGGGCATGCCCAAGGCCCCTCCCCTGGGGCTGCACGGTGGGCATCTGAGGCAGGGCCTGGGAGGAGCCCCAGGCGGCACCCGGACCCGGGCCCTAGGATGGGGCCCTTGCCAGGAGGTGAGGGGTCAGAAGGAGCGGGGGGAGCTTCCAGGAGAGGTTCTGGGGTACGTTTCTTCAGCACTTTCTGATTTCTCCCCACAGATACTACAATTGTGTGTCCTTTCCCGGGTGCCTGGCCAGAGGGACCCAGAGCCAGGGGCCCTCCAGGATGAAGACGTTTGAAGAATTCCCCATGACCCCCACGGCCTACAGAGCCTCTGTGGTATGGGCAGGGTGAGGCCTCAGATCGGGGCGGGGCAGCCTCAGGGAGTCAGTGTCAGGAACTCCTGAGGCAAGTAACAGAAACCAACGCAGACATTTTTTAACAGAAAAGACTGTCCCTTGAAAATGTCATGGCACGTGTCGGTTGAGTCTTGCCCTCGTGTGACACCACAGCCCCCAAGCTGTCCCTTCCCAGCATCCCTGTGACTCCACACAGGCCTCTCTGTGGCAGCAGCACAGAGACCCCAGTGGGAAAACAGCTCCCTCTCTGGCGGGTCTGTTGGTCGGGATGGGCAGGGCTGCTGGGCCCGCCCAGGGAGGCTGGTTTGTAGGGCACAGTGGGGGTCCTCACCAGGTCCCCGGGACCTAGGCTCCTGCCTCCAGGGCCAGATGGAGACCTTGGGGGCACCCAGCTCTCTGCAGTTCCCACGCCAAGCCACGGTTGAAGGGTAGCAGGGCCCACTAAACCCAGATGTGGCTCCTCGGTGACTGCTGGCTCGTCCTGGCTGGGGCGGTTGCCCTGTGGGAGGGTCTTGTGGGGGCTGCAGCCACGGCTTGTTCTCTGCACTCAGGACAACCAGACGGACAGTGGGATGGTGCTGGCCTCAGAGGAGTTCGAACAGATAGCGAGTGGACAAAGACAAGCCAGCGGGTTCAGGTAAGGGCTTCCGGAGCCGCCTCCCTGCAGGCGTTGGTATTGCCCTCCCCAGGAGGGGCTGAAGCAGTGGCCCAGCCAGGGAGGCTGGGACTGGGTGTGCCTCACTCTTCCCAACGCCTTTCCTGGCCCCGGTACCTTTCTGCGTGTTCAAGACAAGCTGCCCTGAGACCCAGGGCCTTCACGTTAGCACAAGAGCCCCGCCATCCCCATGCTGGCCCCGGCACCCCCTTCATCTGCAGATGCTCAGATGCTGCACTCTGTGAAATCGTGGTGACGCACCCCCCGCCAGCCGGGGGTGGCCGCCCTCATCCCCAAACCCCAGCACTTTGCCCAGTGCTCACAGAGGCCAGGCACATACCGTAACCTGAGCTGTCTGGAGATGTATTTTGATAACAGAGAAATACCCACATACGCCTGTACAGAGGGGGACCCGGATAGAAGACGGTCTCCACTTGCCCAACAAGATATCCCTGGTGGGGGGGAGTTTTGTCCAACTTGAATATTTAAACTTTTCAGAATATAGGAAGAAAAGAGTTAAGTGCCTACTTAAAATGTTCACTTTATTCGTTTACTTATACACACCTGTTTAAGTGACAGGACCTACAGTGTCGTAAAAGCACTGGTCCGTCCCTCTTTCTCCAGACCATCCACTTGCACCTTTGACATTGCCGTCTGCCAAGAGCCCCTTTCAGGGTCATCGGGCACAGTTTTCCAGAGCAAATCCTTTACTTCTCCCTGCACCGTTTCTGAACCAAATTTGCTGTTGTCACTGAGTATTTCACCCTGAACCACAGGTATTTATTTGCATAACATGAGGATAGTCGATGTTGCTTTCGCCTTTCTTGAAAGTACATCCGCAGCCTCTGCCACTTAACCAACCACGCGGTGGCTCATCCCGCCAGCCACACAGGCTGCGTCTGCAGTGCCGTCAGCGCAGGCGGCCGTGGCCGTGCCCAGGAACAACAACTGTGTCTGTCTGTGCATCTTTGCTTCCTGTGGTTTTTTAATTGATTCTGTCAGGCGGTTTCCATTAGTAACCTGGTTTGAGGAAATTAACGATAGGTACATTTACAGAAACAGTTTTTGGCTAATGTTTCTTTACCAGACAGCGTTGTGTCATTCAAATAAAGGTAATTAAGTAAAAAGGTAAACCAGAAGACGATGCCATTTAAATCCAAACCTCTACCCACCTTCCTAAGAACAACACGGCTCTTCAGGAGAGTCCAGTGGGTGCTGTCCCATCGGAGGAGAGCATGACCGGGTCCTTGGGACCGTGGCCACACAGGCTGGAGGGTGACGGAGGAGGCTGCCCTGGTGAGAGCAGAGTCCCGGTCAGGCCTGAGGCACGGCAGTGGCTGTCTGGGGAGGGCAGTGAGTCAGGAGGGAGCGCTGCACCTCAGGTGCTCCGTGGTGAAGGAAGAAGAAAGTTCCAGAGGATAAAGGTACTACAGAAGCAAGGCAGTATCCAGAATTCAGAAGAGGAAAGATACACACCCACATTACAGAAACAGCACCTCACTAGCGTGGCAACAGGGGACACGTGTTTCCCTTGGAAACACATCATGGTAAGCCAGGAAGAGGCGCCGCGGATCATGGGCAGGTGCATTCCCTGGGCATATAGAACATTCCACAAACACGTGCCAAGATAAGGGTGCATTTTGGAGCGGCCCGTGGGAGAAGGAGGGGGTTTATCTGCCCCGTCCTTTCCTGTCTCCTGTCAACCACTGGTCAGCACTTGTCCAACGGGAGTTATTCTTTCTCACTTCCTGGTGGCATCCTCCAGCCCTTTCCGTGGCCACCTGGGATGCCAGATCCCACAGCCCGTGGTGTGCTGTTTCCTCCAAGCCTGTTGGTGAGAGGAGATCTGGAAACCAGGGGCTTGTGGTGGGTCAGCCTGGCTGCATGGAGCAGCGTCGGAGACTGGCCGGCCCCCGGGGGCAGAATGACAGAGGGTGTGAGTGGAGCCCTTGGAAAGAAGAATGCAGTCTAGAGAATTCAAGCAGATGCTGAAAGTGTGGGTCCTGTACAGCACCTTCGAGTGAAGAACCTTGGGAGCCACCTGAGTCTCTTCCAAGCTATTTCTGGTGTAGGCGACGCCAACATGAATAATAATCATGAACAGAAAAAATAAGCACTGTCCATGCAGAATTGTTATAAGTATAAAACAGAAAACTAGACTTAAAACTTTTCAGTAGAAAAAATTGTTAATGAAACAGAAACAGAACCCTCCAACATGAATTAAATATATAATGCAACAAGCAGCAACAACAAGAATCAGAAATTCAAAACTTCAGACTAGAAAGTGGCAAACAATGTGAAGATATAAATGGGAGCTGACTAAATTCAAGAAAGAAATTGAAATAAAAAAATTTAAGTCCTCAAAAAAGAAGAGGGTGCCGGAGGGACAGAGTGTAGCACCAGACCCGCAGCGGCCAACACGGGCCAGATGCCGGGGAGTCAGAGCGGAAATGAAGAAGCAGAAAGGGTGGGAAGAAAGCGACGGGTACGGAAGAGATCCGGGGTCCCCGAGGACAAAATGCAAACAGTAAATAGAACTAATATTTTTAAACTTAAAATTCCAGATAACTCTTGAATAAATAAAAGAAGACCCAAGTCTACATATCGGGAGGATACCTGGGAAAACTGGCCTAGAGTAGTAAACTCTGAGACGTATCCTAGTAGAACTATTTGACTTTCAAGATAAATATTCTGAGAATTCAGGCAAAAAAGTCCAAGTCTCTTACAAAGCAGAAAAGAGAAGGACAGCCAGGAGCCTTTTCAACAGCAAAACCACAATAAATCAACATCTTCAAAAAACTCACAGTGAAAGCTGAGGACGGCCAAGGATGGGGCGGGGGCGGGGGCTCGGATTTCATCCCGGGAGTGAGGGGACCACTGAGGCTCTGTCAGGACCAGAACGGTGTGTCCAACCTGAAGGGCCTTTCTGAGGCTGGGCTACGGGCAGCGGTGGTGGGGGCAGGGCGGACAGCCAGGAGGTCGCAGAGCCCGCGAGGCCTCGGCGCGATCCGCAGTAGGGGCCGGGGAACGGAGACCCGTGCACATGCGTTTTGGAGTTAGGATGGCCAGGACTTCGGGAGGGATGGATGTGCGGGGTGAGGGACGGGAGGAAGCAAGGGCCACCCGTGGTGCTTGGCGCGCACGACTGGGGCGCGTCAGTGCCATCCCTGAGAGGGCCGGGTAGAACAGGACAGGTTGGGGGGTGAAGTCGGACATTCTTCACTCTCCCGTGTCCAGGCTTGAGACCAAGACAGTTCCAGTGTTTGCCAGATGAACCTGGTTTGCTCTGAAGGCCAGGCTGTGTGTGCTTCTCAAAGTCCGTAAGCAGCTTCACGCTCCGGCTCGTCTTTGGTGACTCCAGTCAGACCCTGACCCAGGTCTGGTCCCCTCCCTCTTCTTACGCCATCTTCCCTGTCTTGGCAGCGGTAAAGGACCTGGCCAGGACGTGGACGTGACCGGGGTGCACTCCGACCCCCACGGGAGGCAGCCGCGGCCCGACACGGGAGCCCGAGGCGGCCAGGTGTTTTACAACAGCGAGTACGGGGCTCTGTCGCAGCCGTGCAAGGAGGACGAGTGCGCCCCATCTGCCCGCGCGCCCTTCTTCACGGACAACAGCTGCTAAGGCGGCCTCAGACCACGGCCCTGCCCTCGGCTGAGCCTGGGCTCCAACACCTGGGGGCCGGGCCTGGCCGGGCCAGCAGAGGGCTGGGGGCCCAGGTGGGGACTCATCTCATTTAGCTCTGGCCAGAGAGAAGTGCCCTCTGCCCTGTCCGCAGCCTCCCCAGCTAGGAGAGCAGACTCCGGGCTCAGGGCACCACGCCTGCCCAGGGCCACCCGCAGCCGCCCCGGCCCTGCTGTCCCTCAGACTCCGCTGCCATTGAGCTCGGTGTCCACAGGGGCGGCCCCGAGCTGGGCACTTCATGGAGAATGTTCCCTTGATGACCTCCTCTCAGCAGTGGGTGGGCGGCATGACGCCCGTTTTCTGAGGAGGAATGTGTGGGTCCGAGAGTCCCACAGGGGTCGAGGTAAAGCCCGCCTTGAGCCAGCTCTCCCAGCCCCTGCCCACAACGCCGCCCCATCCACCGGCGAGTGCACCGCCCTTCCCGCGGGGAACGGCTTTCTTCACCCCCGGCCGAGGCCGAAGGGAGGTGCCGCGTTTCCTTCCCCAAGCAGCAGTGAGGCATCGGGGTCCTCCTGAGCCCGACCAAACAGCTGACTGTCCCGTGGGGTGGCCGTCTGTACGTGAGGGACCAGTGCCAGACTGAACCAGCACCCCTGGCCCTGAACGAGAAGGACCATCCAATGGGTCTTTTTCACTAGAACTTCAGAGACTTTCGGCTGCTGTGAAGAATTTCCTTTTCAAAATTCAGTCTGCAGGGAGCCCAGGGGCAGCGACTCTCAGCCCCGAGTCAGGGGCTGTCAGAGCAGATGCTCCCTCTGGAGAAGGCCCCAGTCTCCCCACCTGGTCCAGAACGTGGAGAACCGGCTGACGGTCTGGAGCCGCCCCGTGTGGTTCTACCTTCCCTCGAGCTGGCTCTGCCCCCTGAGGTGCCTCCCAGGCATGGCGGTCCTCACAGGAAACGAGCCTGTGAGCTGCACCGAGGAGGGCCTTGGAGCTGGCACTGCGTGGTGACACTCAGCGGCCAGTGGGTGTTCTTGTGGCCCTGGGGGCCTGACTCGGACACCCTGGCAGATCAAGCCTCGGCCCTCGCAGGGGAGCACCAGAGGCCCCCTGAAGGCTGGGACCATGCTGCCCAGGCCTCCCATCCCGGCTCACACTGCCCCGCCACCCCCACCAGGAGAAAGACCCTCCCCCGGGTGAGGACCCGAAGACCGACCCCCACTCCAACAGGCGCTTGCAGGACAGGCGGCTGCGCGGGACAGGGGCTTGCTCGGCCCCCTCCGAGTGTGGTGTTAACTCTGCGATAGTTGCGTGCATGTATGACTGTGATCCTCATCCCCGTGCCCCTCCCCGCCCTCTGCACTCACTTGGCTGTGGGCCTGGGCTCTGGCCTCCCCAGGGGAAGCCCCGGGCTGCTGTCCACGGAGGACCCGAGTGAGGTGCGGAGGCCCCGCCCGCGTGCAAACCACCTGTTTGTGTCACCTCCCCTCCTGTCACGTAACTGCACACCCAAACATGTACCTGGGAAGAAAATCTACTACGCCTTTGTAGACAATGTTCTCTGAGAAGATGGAATATATTTAACAAGAGATAATAATAAACTTGATGCCAGTCTTGAAGTCCCAGCCCTCCGTGAAGTTTTGGTTTTAACCTTCCTCCCTGCGGGGCCATCGGCCCCAGTCCCCTGGACAGGCCACGGGAAGGAAGCGCGGCCTGCGGCTTGTTCCCCCCCGGCGGCTGGTTCTGTTCCGGCCTGCTTTACCTGCAGGGACCGGAGCTCCATCCTGCCTGCTGAGCCACCAAGGTCCTGGACACTTGGCTGGGCCCAGGGCGGGCCCCGCAGGTGGGCCAGGTTCCTGCGGCCACCCTGGCTTCCACTTGGAGAATGGGCGGAGGGGTGCGCCCGCCCGAGGTCACCTGGCTGGTTGGTGCCTGCCTGAACCCCGAGGTCAGGGGCGTCTGAGCGGGGACCCAGGCTTCGGTGCCGCCCAGGGAACGAGCCCTGGCCGTGGTGCAGACCGCTGGAGGAGACTGCAGCCTTCGCGGGGCCTTCCGCACCCCTGAGCGGCTGCCCTAACGGTGGCCGCGGGCTGGGGCGTGACACTGGCGGTCCCGACAGGCGTCGGCTCTCCAGGGGCTCAGAGGGAAGCTGGCGGTGACCGGTGGCGGCAGCCCTGCCAGTGGGCTCTGTGCAGCCCGGAGCCAGGAGGCAAGGGCCGGGCAGGGCTGGAGGCTCCGGCCAGCAGGACCCGCGCCCAGGAAAGCAGAGTGGACCCCAGGCAGGGGCAGGAGACGCAGGTCACCGCCCTGGGGTGCAGCCTGCAGCTGCCAGGCCTCTCCCGCCCTCCGGGCCCGCGGGCGTCCAGGGCAGCCCTGCTGTCCGCAATTGGGGGGAGAGCCCCTCCCCACGAAGGCAACTGCTTCTGGTGGGTTGTTTGCGTTTTTATTATTTTTTGGTCTTTACTGTTGTTTCTGCCTCTATAATAAATCTAAATGGGCATACAGAAAAGACTCCGCATTGGGTTTAGACATCTTAACTTTCCAATGTAATTGACTGACTGTAGCCACTGACCCCAGGTGTCAGCCAACAGGATGTGCCCACACACCCAGGACTGCTCTGGTCACCAAACCCAGAAACGTGCGGTGGGAACTGGCACCCCCATGCTGGTTTCGGGGGCCGCGGGCAGGAGCGGGTTCTGCACTCACACTTCCGGGCTGCTCTGGTCCTGCCTGGGCTGGACTTTCAGGGCTGGGCTCAAGTGTCCCCCCAGGCCCGGCTCCACCCTCCCCTGCAGGGCGCAGGCCACTCCAGGCTGTGCGATGGGAACTCGGCCAGCCAGGGAGCAGGGGAGTCGCAGCAGGCAACAGCGCGCTCCCACTTTGGGCGTCCTCTGTCTCGGAGGAACCCTCTCATCCCCTCTCAGGCTCCAGCCCTTCCCGGGTGCTCACCACCCCCTGGTCCCTCCGCCTCCAGCCCAACCCCTCACTCCCAGTCACTTCTGCCAGAGAGCCCTTAGTCGCATACTCTGGGGGAGGCGCGGGGCCGAGGGCAAGCTGGAGTGCCCCTCGATGCCTGTCCCCAAGTGACCGCTGCCCTCGGCATGGGCACTGCTTGGGCCGAGGGTGTCTGCTCTGAGCCACGCATGGTCCCGGGCCCTGGGACACAGAGCGCACAGGCCAGAGCCCCTGCGTGAGAAGAGACCTGTGAGTGGGGCTGGCAGAGGAGTCCAGGGCGGGGTGGGCAAGAGGGGTGGCGGGGTGTGGGCGGCGCTGTAGGGCCTGGGGGCCCAGAGTCGGGAGTCTGTCTTATTTTAGGGCTCCAGGGGAGTTCTGAGAGGGGCAATATGCTCTGGCTGTCGTCTGTGCTCCGAGAAGGGATCCTGAAGGACAAGGGTGAGGAGACTGCTGGCATCTGGTGCAGGGACCCTGGCTGCACCAGGGCGGCCCTGAGGAGGCCAGGACGACTCTGAAAGACCCGGAAGAAAAAGCTGGACCCAGTGCAGAATCCTACAGATACACAGACCGCATGTCTGGAAAGAATCCTTTTCCTAGTAAACACGTGATCCTCTCCAACAGCACGTCCTAAGACCTGCCCCGCCCTCCTCACCTGAGGCCCTTGGCGTCCTCAGCTAAGGACGGGGTTCAGCCAAAGTGCCAGTCAGGCTGGGAGGACAGGGTGAGGCAGGGTGGGGACAGAGAGCCTGGCCCCCAGCTGGGGGTCTACATGGCTTCCTGAGGCCTGGGAAGGTGCCGGGGGCCAGAGGAAAGCAGGAGTCCCCAGCAGAGAAGAGCACACACGACGGGGTAAGAGTGCTCATGTCCTAGGGGGTCAGAGGGACGCCCAGAGGCGGAGGGCAGGCCTGGAGGCAGGGGCAGCCTCGGACTCACGGGGCTGCTGCCCTTGAAGCTCCCTTGCACTGGAGGAGGGAGCCCAAAACGCGGCTTCCGGCACCATGCCGGCCCCTCCCTCACACGCCCACCCAGCCACTCTTAAAGCTGGGCGCTCAGCCCGGATAATCGGCCGCAGTGTCCAAGGTGCTGGCCTGTGCCCAGGTCACGGGGCTGCCCCCCGAGATCCCTGCTTGCAGATTCAGGAAGGGGACGGCAGCATCACTGACAGGGGCCGCCCTCCAGACAGTCGAGTGAGGCCTGGGTCTCCTCGGCCGTTGGGCAGAGAGCCTGGGCCAGGCTGGGCTCTGGGGGCTGCTCGGGGCTGCCAGTGGGGCGAGGGATCTGGTGTGACACCCTGAGGCTGGTGATCCGGGCTCGGCACCTCCCCTCGGGGCCTCAGTTTCTTGCCTGTGACTTGCCGCCCTGCAGGGCTTTGGTGGTAACAGTCACGATGGCCCCAGTGGTGCTGGGCGACCACACCGAGGAGGAAGGCCCTGCCCCAACCAGGTGATGTGGGCAGCGGCATCTGACCCCCCGACTCACCTGCCCACCCATCGACCAACCAACGCAGGCTCCCAGCAGCCCCCTAACTACCCATCTGCAACACACTAGCTGTGTCCCCCAAAACTCGTATGTTGAAACCCTCCTCCCAATGTGATGGTGTCAGGAGGTGGGGCCTTTGGGAGGTGGTTAGGGCGCCAGTGTGGAGCCCTCAAGAATAGGACTCGTGCCCTTGAAGAAGAGGCCAGAGAGCTCCCTCACCCTCTTTCCACCGCGTGAGAACACAAGTCAGCTGTTGGCAAACCGGGGATGGGCCCTCATCAGACACCCAATCTGCTGGCACCTTGATCTTGCACTTCTCAGGCTACAGAACAGGGAGAAATAAATGTGCTGTTTAAGCCACCTCCTCTGCGGTAATTCGTCACAGCAACCCAAACCAAACCATCCTCCTGTCCCTCCGTCTGCAGCCGAATGAACGGGCGCACGCGTGCGCCTCTCAGGGGGTCAGAGACCTGCGGAGGCTGCAGCACCGAGGCGTGGATGGAGGCCGCCTGCTTTTAGAAGGATCGGGATCAAAGTGATGTTAATAGGAGGAAATGCATCCCTCATAGGTGACCAACTGCGAGGTGTTAAGTCAACAAGCACCCCCATGGTTCTGCTTTCGAGTAATTTAGCAGAAACTGGCTGCAGCCACCACTGCAAGGACAGTGGATTGTTTCTCCATCCTGGACTGAGTGGAGGACACCACACTCCCTTCAGAGACCCGAGGGGGGCGTGCAAGGAGCCTATCCGAAGGGGGAACTGCCTCCGGGCTTGGGGAGGAGCTCAGAGAGACTATGCAGGGAATTAGGGGATCTGGAACATGTCTCAGGCAGCATCCTTGACAGCCTGGGCTGCCCTCTGTGGGACGGGGGTCCAGGTAGCCAGGCAGGTACAGCTCCTGGGTCCCTGTCCCTGGCTCTCTGAGGTGCCAGGAGCTCCATCGGAGCCGGTCTGTGTGCAGCTAGGCAGTCGCACATGGCCCTGTTCCGGAAGGAGGCAGCTCCCCCTGCCCAAAAAGGGGAGGACATGGACTCCCTTGGGCACAACCAGGTAACTGGAAGTCATGCATTCAATCCCCCCCACCAGAGAGAGATGGGCATAACAGAAGGATTTGCCGTTAAACTCTTGGGTTCTAAGCTGTTGAAACTTCTTAGAAGGGCTCTTGCTTCGGGATGGCAGCTGAGGGGCTGAGAGTGCTCATGTCCTAGGGGGTCAGAGGGACGCCCAGAGGCAGAGGGCAGGCCTGGAGGCACGGGCACCATGTGGTAGAACATTGGTCTGGATTCTGGCCAGGGACCCCTAGGGGTCTGACCCACCAACTCACACCCCTGCCTGGCAGGCAGCTGCTCCCAGCCCCGGTGCACGGAGGCAGTAAGGGCGCCGGTCAACACGGGAACTTCCAGTCCGTGGCGACACTGGGTGTGGGAAGAGCATGGCCTGGGCACCCCGCAGACCCACTCTGACTGTCCAGGGGACCTCAGGTAGGTCACCGATGTTCTCTGAGCTGTGTTTCTTCTGATTCGTGAGGGTGACAATACCCACCCCACACCCAATACCATTCCATTTAGGAAACCACTGCTGGCCACACCTTCAGTCCATGGACTCAATAGGGCTGCAACCCAGCCCAGGCTGAAAGGTAGACTGGACCTAATTATACACCATGTTTCCTTGGACACTGCTGCTGTGGTCAGCACAGCCTCTTAGAGCAACAGGGACCTGGTATGATCTCATGGGAGGCCCTGGGGACAGCAGCAGGGTTCATGACCCTGAGCCTGAATCAGTATCTGGGATTTGGCCCTGCTGGCTATCCGCTTGCCACCCCAGGGAGGACAGCCATCTAAAAACCAGGAGCCAAGAGATGGCAGAGAAGAACAAGGTCCTGGTGACATGATTTGAGCCTGGATCAAGCTTTGCCTGAAGGCAGCCCCATCCCTGGAATTTCAGTCCTCGCTTACACCACGTGCCTTAGCTTTTCTGTCACAGTCACCAATGCCCTGGAGCCACACAGCAAGAACCCTGTGGAAGGCATCTGCCCACCCCGCCCAGGGCAGGGCTCTGCCCGTAGGAGGGCCCTGGACAGGGAGGGGGCAACAGGAAGTGCTTGAGAGAGCCAGAGCAGCGTCGACCCAGGGGAAGGGGCCCACAGAGCGGGAACAGGATGCTGCCCACAGCCCCAGGGCCCATGCGGCTGAGCTATGAGGAAGGAGGAAGGAGGCCGAGGAGGGAGTGCTGACTGGGACCGGTGGGGTGACCCCTGGGCAGGACACACACCTCGTGTGCCTGGTGGGTGAGCCAGGGCATCTGGGGGGCCCAGATGCCTGACCAGTGCGGGAGAAAGCCCAGCGGCGGCAGAAAGCCGCAGAGCCTGGGGCGTGCCCGCCTGTCCTCCGGCGACCCGTGGAGGCAGCAGAGAGGGAGGACCTGCCTGCTGGCCCTGGCCCAGGAGAACCCCCACAGGAGGAACCTGCGTGTCGCGCCGGCCGGGTGCTCAGAGACCAGGCTACAGCCAGGAGCTCCCACGGACCCCCTCGGGAGGGGCCCCAGGACCTTGGACAAAAGCAGGGCGCTGGCTGAGCCCTCAGGACGGCCCGTCCATCCCCTGCTGGGGGAAGTTGCTCAGAAGGATGAGGAAAAGCCTCACCGGGCCTGTCCGCGGACGTGGGTGAGCATCGGGTTAACAGGAACGGGACAGTTCATACCCGAGCCGTGTCAGAGTCGTCACCCGCACGGGGTGACCTAGCCAGCCTCGCTCGTCGCCTGTGACACTGCCTGACAGTGCGTTGTCGCAGGGAAAGCAGACGTGGGCACCGAGGACCTCCACGGCATCTCCAACGACAACAGGACGTCTGGGCGGAAGGTCAGGGGCGATGCCCACCCACCCAGCGTGGCCACACTCCCGATGGGCTCGGTCCTGAGCGTCCCTTCCACTCCGCCTGACAAGTCACTGCGCCGTGTCCGCCTGGGCCTTGCCGCCTGCGTGGCCGGCTCCCTCCCCACCGCCCCGTGGGCAGACTCGGGGCCGTGGCACAGGCGGGGCAGAGACAAAGGCTCGTGCCTCGTGGCTCCAGCCCGAGCGCCGGGGGGCTGGCACTCAGGGCCGCAATTGGATGTTTGGCCGAAGCCCTTGTTTACCTTCCAGCACTCCCTGCATTCCCGAAGGGGCGGGTGAGGCTCGAGTGTTTGCCTTGGCCCAGGGGACGTCGTGCGCCACCCATGCGGAGCCCCCCAACCTCCCACCTCCTGACTCCCGGAACCTCAAGCACTGCTTTGCGGTTGAGGGAATTATCCGGAGACGAGGGTCGTCCCGGATGACGCAGGAGGCCGCGCCCGCGCAGAAGAGGCCGTGGGACCAGGAGGCCCAGGTCGCCGAGGAGGCCGCGGGCCCGGACCTTGCTTCCGCCCCGGTGACGCGGGACTTCCGGCGTCCAGAACTGCCGGCGCAGCCACGCGAGCTGTGTTCGGCCGCCAGGCGTGTGGCCAGTGGCCGCGGCGCCCGCAGAAAGCCAAAGCGGAGGCCGAAATGGGCGCGACCACTCGCGGGGCTGGCGCGGGCTGTGGTGGGGATCGCGCCTGCAGTCGTTCGTGGGAGGCGGGAGCAGGTGCACGGAGGCACCGAGAGGCAGCGGAGGTTGTTCACTGCACAGGCGAAGAACGCCAGGGCGGCTGGAGGGGCGCCGGGACGCCCCAGGCCCCCAAGCCTGTCGGGACCCGCGGTGGCGGCCGCCACCTCCGCTCGGCCCCTCGCTCTGGTCCTTCCCCGCGGCCGCGTCGCAGGGCCCCAGGCCGCGCGGGGAAAGGGGCTGCGCCGGCTCCCGTCACCCACCCCGACCACGCGGGCCGAGCCGCCAGAATCCCGCTCGGGAGGACGAGTGTTGCGCTGCGGGGAGACGGGCGCCCCTGGTCGCCGCTGGTGGGGAGCCAGCCGGCGCCGTCGCTGAGGGAAAGTGCGGCGGTTCTCAGAGAAAATTAGACACAGAATCACCGCGGGCCTCGGCGGCGGAAAGCAGCGTCTCCCACACGCGCCCGCACGCCGGAGCTCCCGCAGCGTCACGCACGGTCGCTGAAACGCGGGGGGCGGAGCCGGGTCCGCGCGGCGGGCGGGGGCCGAGCGTCAGCACGGACGGAGGCGCCGTGCACGGAGGACAGCTCTGTGCGGCGACGCCCGCCCGGGCCCCCCAGAGTCGCCCGACCCCGGAAACGGGAAGCAGGAAGGTGGTTGCCAGGGCCAGGTTCGTGCTTAACGGATACAGAGTTTCAGTCCTACGGTTGCTTAAGACGGTACATTTTACGCTTTGTGACCTTTACCGCAATAAAAAAGTTGAGGTAGAAAAGAAACTGCGGGAGGGCTCCTTCCGGGCCAGCGCCAATCCCTTCCGGGCCAGCAGGGCGGGGCTCCGTCACGTGGCGGGGACACGCGGCGGCCGCTCTGCGACGAGGGCTGGGAGGCCGCGGAGGCCGCGCGCACCTCCTGGCGTGACGGGGGCAGCACCTGTCCCCTTCTGGGCAGGTCCCCTTTGTGGAAGAGGGTGGGCTGGGCTCCACAGAAGTCCCGAGAACCTTCATTGCGTGTCGGAGGCAAACTGCGCCTGGAACGATCCCCCGCGACACGGGCTGGGGCTGCCGGGCGCCGGTGCCGCGGGCGCCCCGGGAGGAGCCCATCGCCCCGCGCGCACGCCCAGCCCGGTCCGGATCCCGAAATTTTCCGGTATCGTTTTTGACAGCAGCATCAGAGAGAAGGACCACAGCTTCTGCGACAACTTGATAGCTGGTTTCCTGTCATTTACCGTCATGGTCAACTTCCCCACGAGGCCTGGGAGGCCCAGAGCCGAGGGATAGCGATGCATGTAGGGTCCGGGAAAAAGCTTTCATCTCCATTTCCCTTTAGATCAGAAGAAAAAATTAATAGTAATGAATATATTATAATGGATCCAGCCGGGATTATATTTATCTTTATGCCAGTGCCATTATTAAATATACTTCTGGTATTTTTTAAGGAGAAAGACACCCACGCACAAAGGAAAAAGTGCCTAGGGCCCACAAAAGTCACCCTGCGCTCCTCGTATAAATGACTGTCATGACCACCCTCCTGAAGCATTTTTGTCGGCATGTCTGGTTGTATCATAGGACTGATTTCTAGAATTAGATTTGCACAGAGGGAGACTAATGAGATTGGGAGTTGAGCTCAGACCAACACGGAAATCCCATCAGAGATTTCTGCTGTCTATACAACTTGTAAACAAACACTGGAGATTTTTTTCCCCCAAAGTCTTCGCTAATCTTCTATCAATAAATCATTCAAAAACGGAAAACAATTTTAGTCATCGCTTGTTTGGGAAAATGTGGGGCTTGCTTTCTTTGTGTTTAACTTGACAATGGTCACGAGAAATTTGAAGTGTTGCTCCCATCAGTTTGGGAATGGGAGAATGAAGCTGTTAGAAACATACCCGAGGCCTCTTCAAATTTTCCTTCTCCCCCTTGCTCTGCGGTTGCCTCCCTGGGAACCGGCCTCCGCTCTGGGGGAGAAGCCCCCACCTCACTGCCCCTCATCGGCCCCTCTGCCTGTGACAAGGTGGTTAACGTGACAGGCGGGAGGTGGTCATCCAACCCGCTGGCCCGGCTTTCCAGAAGGGCGACCGGCCAGAGCAGCGTCCATCTGGCGAATGCCTTGAGAGGACAGTGCCGGCCCCACGGCACGGCAAGAAGCTTCCTCCAGAAAAGCCCTCGGAAGGTACTGAATCTTCACTAGTTGAAAATGCATTTCCCGTTGAAATTACTTCCACAATGATCAACAAAACATACACAACCAAACTCCAGGTGTATGATGCAAAATCCCCCAGACAAAACAGTCAAGGAAAAGTAAAGACACAAACAGCAACAACAAGCACGCTGGCCACGGGCAGTCTGCAGGCCCCACGCTGCCAAGGTCAAGGTGCTCGCTGAGCCACCGCAGAGACGTGCCAGGACACCCCTGAAGAGCTGGCACCTCCTACCATACCGGTGAGCCTGCGTCAGGGTATGCTTATGTTTTGCCCTCCACCTGTCATACTTCCATAGGTGACGGATGAGTAAGGACTTTTGGAGAAACTGGAATAAACCGGGACCATCCACGGCATTGAGACTAATTTCAAAGACAGAAAAATGTCCCAGGTCCTCCTAGTCACATTAGCGGCTGCCTGTGGCTCTATCAGGGAGGTGGCCAGGAGTAGGGCCCCGTCACCTAGGGGGCCACATGGAGTTTCCTCTCCAGTGCTCAACCACCCTGGCTTCCCCAGACTAGAAGGAACCCCGAGGACCCCCGTGAGTGACATTTCCATGGTGATGGATCTGGGCAAGGGCGGGGCCGCAGACCTGCAGTTAACAGTGAGCTCTGCAGCCCACCGGCCCTCCCTCCTGGGGGGAGCCTCCTCCCCACCCGGGTCAGAGCCCAGGGCAAAGCTGCTGCTCCTGCTCCCAGGAGAAGGCCCCTGCCAAGAGGAAGTCCCCAAGACCCGGGCGGGGTAGGGGACACGGGCTTCCCAGGGTCGACCGGCCAGAGCAGGAAGTTGGCTGGGGCTCTGCGCATGAGCTGAGCAAACAGTGAGGTTCTCAGGCAGACAGGGTGAGGCCCCAGCCCAGCAGGGGGTGAGGACGGGGTATATGAAACCCTCAGGGCCAGGCTCCGGGAAGCCCGTCGTAGGTCCTGGAGCGTCCACGGAGCACGGCCGCGCCATGAAACTCACCACCACCTTCCTGGTGCTCTGTGTGGCCCTGCTCAGCCACCCCGGTGAGTGAGCCCCAGGCTCCCTGCCGCAGCCATCCACACGCGGAGAGCCAGGCTGCTCCTGCTGGTCCTCCCAGGCTCAGCTCCCATGCCCGGCCTCCTGCCCCCCAGGGCTCCCGTCCTCCCCCCCCCCGCTTCCTGTGGCCCTCGAGCCCTCTGGCCTCCTCTCACACCCTTGCCCGCCTCGGTTTCTCTCTCTGACCCACCGACAGCCGCCCCTGGTCTAGGAATACCCATCTGTTCCCCGTCTGGTGACTGTCCGGGCACAGCACGAGGGGCTCCTCCCGTGGGGAGCCTGCAGAGTCCGCCTGTCCTTCTCTACCCCCAGGCTGCCTCTGTGTCCCTCTCTGCAGCAGTCTCTTCGCCGGGCTCGGCCGTCCGTACTGAGGCTGCTGCTCCCAACCAGCGGGAGCCCTCCAGAGCCCAGGCTGGGTTAGAGCCATCTCTGTGACCCCGGACTCGGCACCGGGCAGCACCAGCGAGGGAGGGAGTGGGTGCCCAGGGGTGCTGGGCAGGTGAAGGCTCTCCTGAGGACCTCCCCGGGAGGACAAGTCGTCAGCAGGTCTCCTTGGGCCCCCTACCTACGGTGGCTGATTCTTCCCCGTTGTGTTTGTAGCTGCCGCTTTCTTCGTGGACTCGGTGGCTAAGCCTGTGGCCCAGCCTGTGGCTGCCCTCAACTCTGCCGCAGGGGCCGTGGCCAACCCCCTCCTCAGCCACTTCAACCCCCTGAAGTTCATGCTGACCAGCCTGGGGATCCCCGTGGAGCACCTCATAGAGGGCTCCCAGAAGTGTGTGGCTGAGCTGGGCCCCGAGGCCGTGGGGGCCGTGAAGACGCTGCTGGTAACGCGGGCGCCACGGGCACCTCCCGGCGTGTGTCCCTCCCCAGCCATCCGCAACATCGTCCCAGAGGCATTCCGGCCCTACGTCAGGGCTCGTGTCCATCCTGCTCTCTCAAGCCCTGTCCCTGGGAGAAGCCCGGGTCCTCGGGTGTGAACTGGGCTGACCATAGCTGAGCTGCAGGGGCTGGTGGAGCGTGGGATGGATGCAGCCCCCGTGGGGAGGCTGCCGGGGGACTATGGCACTCTGTCCCAGGGCCCGCTCCCCGTCTCTCCTGGGAGCCCTCGCCAGAGCCGGTAGCTGCCTGAGTTCCCGCCTGAGTTCTTGGTGGCAGTGAGGGGCAGGGCACACTCAAGTTCGGCTTCTCCTTTCCAGGGGGCCCTGACACTGTTTGGGTGAACGGAGGCTGGAGAAGCCCTGCCTGAGGACAGGACGCTGCCCACCTGAACACCCACGGCCTCCCTCCCTCTCTCAATAAACATGGTGAAGAGCAACTGGGTTGATGTGTTCTTGCCCATCTATCTCCGTGGGGGCCGAGAGCAGGTCCCGGATTGTGTGAGTGTGTGCGTGAGAGAGAGAGACAGGAAGAGAGGAAGGCTGCGGACATTTGGCAGGTGGCCTTTTTAAAGCCAGCGATGAAAGGTGACAGAGATCAGGCAGGTATCAGAATTAAACTGGATCTGGAAACTAAATTGCTCTGTGTTTATGAAACATGGAAATTATCTAATTGTTGAAGATTGGTGAGAACACACCGAACAACCAAAGCCATTTGTTGCTAATATTTGAAAGTTTTAATTTTTTCCCTTGACTTACAGATTTCTCCCTTAGGATGGGCAGAATTGGGGGCTACAGAAAATTTGCGGATGTTTGTTTCCCTGTGGTTTCTGGTGGCTTCATTCGAATAACCTAGCGGCTTCTGCTGTACCAGACGGGCCACTGCTTCCGGACTGCCCCGCAGTGCTGACGGGAAGGTGGCGCAGACCCCAGATCCCGCCTGCATCTCAGGGACGCGGCCCAGTCAACGCCTTCGCTAAAGCATGCATAACTGTTCCGTGCCCCCAGTCCAGGCACACGGAACCCGTTTTCACCGATCTTATAATTAAAACGTGGCTCTGGCCTTCCTCTATTCCTATTTTGACAAGTATATTTAGGAATTTAAACTTTTTTTTTTTGGCCATTTTGATAAATTTACAGCACAACCAGAACAGGAAGGAAGCCACCTGGATCGAGATTACATGTAAATCTCAGTATCAACACATTGCCCCTACGATTGTCGAGGGTTGTGAATCTTTCCGGAAGGCTTTGGTCTGGACAACAATGAACCGAGAATGAGAGGAATCATTTTGCATCTCTGGTGAGGAAGGCAGTGGGGACCCAGACCCTGATATGACCCTAGGCCAGCCTCTCCCAGCGTTATATATCCAGGCTCTCTGCAGGTCATGGCAACAATTCCTTAATTAACTGGATTAAAATGTCCAAGTAAATCTCCCGGGGAGCACTACATGCTACAGGAGCTTGTCGGAGCTGATGCTGGGTGGTCCAAGGACCCCATCCCAAGACAGCTCTGCTCCCTCCACCATGGGATCTCCCCAGGAAAACAGGAAGGGGAAGCAAAGTGCTCGGAGACAGCCCCTGAGTGTCAGCAGCACAGTCCTGGAGGGCCTGGTCCCAAACCTGTGCCACGAGCACTGTGGGAGTGAACAGTGCCGAGGGTGGGCTGTGGTAGACGCCAGTTCCCCTCCAGAAGGAGCTGCACATTCCCGTGGCTCTTGGGAGCATTGGTAGCTGGTAGAAATCAGCTAAATTGCTTTCTGGGAATTGCCCTCAGTCAAAGAAATCCACCTTGCCCAGGGTCACCTCCTACCCCAGAGGCAGTCTGCGTCCATGCTGGGTTGAGGCAGGTTATGAAGGCTGGGCCTCCTTGCCTCAAGGCAGAGGAATCTGCAGGTGCTCACAGCCCCAGAGCTACCCACTGGCCCGGGACCTTTCTGACCGCATTGCAGTTCGACTTCGCCAGGGGCAGCATTAATGCCTCGGGTCCCCCAACACTAGCACACGTGGTGGCTAATTTGGGTGTCCTGTGTCCCGGAGCTGGTGGCTCAGCTGAATCTTCGAAAGGCTGTTCCACTGCTGTATCTTCTCCAATAAAATCCGTGCACACAAATCTCTGTCTCGAAGAGTGCTTCCGGGGGACCCACTGCAAGACAGTACATTACTGTTTATCTAAGAAAGGTGTCTACGTGTAGGATAAAATATTTTA